GCATCTGATCTTGCTGCACAGTCAATAAGTTCGGATGGCGTGAGCCCAACAGGGACAGACGGCCCCAGGGACAGTCCTCCTCTGACACCCCAATAGAGATTTCAAAAGGTCTCCTACCTCTATTGTGGCGCCATGGGATTTGAAGGGGAACGATCCGTAGTAGCTGCCGGTGCCTCTGCGGATGTTGCCATCCCAGACGAGTCCCCAAATTGTCGGAAAATAACCGAGTTCTCACTTTTTGTTTGGGTACAGCAAGTCAGATACTTTATTTTCTCTCTATCAATTGCGCAGAGGGAGAGAGCTAAACAGGTCTCTCGACAGGTAAACAATTACAGCAAGCATTTATACCTTTTGTTACAGACAATAATGAGCAACAGTTGCATTTTGTTTATATGTAGGTCATTCTGATATCTTGTTTTGCTCACTAATGTAGACTCTTAGTCTACAGTCCATATTATATTATCTACACAAGGTCGCAACAACTTCTCACACAGTTCTTTCCCACTCGCCTCACACATTCCTCGCTTCTACAAGTCTCGCGTTATTAGGGTTGCAGTTAGCCTGACTCTTGCTAACGAACTGTCATGCATTGCAATCCCCTTCCTGTCAGTTCTTTCTCTGCTTCCACATTACAAAGTTCTGCAATTTCACATTTGAATTCCTTCAGAACTCTTGGGTGAATCCCATCTGGTCAGGTGACTTATTACTGTTTAATTTATCAATTTGTTCCAAAACCTCCTCTAATGACACCACAATCTGATACAGTTCCTCAGATTTGTCACATAAAAAGAATGGGTCAGGTTTAAAATCTCCCTCATGTCCCCAGCCATGAAGACTGATGCAAAGAATTCATTTAGTTTCACTGCAATGGCCTTATTGTCCTTGAGTGCTCCTTTAGCATCTCAATCATCCAGTGGCCCCACTGGTTGTTTAGCAGGCTTCCTCCTCCTAATGTACAGTACTTTAAAAAAATTGCTATTACTTTTTGAGTCTTTGGCTAGTTGTTCTTCAAATTCTTTTTTGGCCTTCCTAATTATATTTTTACACTTCATTTGCCAGAGTTTATGCTCCTTTCTATTTTCCTCACTAGGATCTAACTTTCACTTTTTAAAGGATACTTTTTTAATCTCTCACTGCTTCATTTACTTTGTTGTTTAGCCACAATAGCACCTCTTTGGTTCTCTTACTATGCTTTTAATTTGGGATATGCATTTAAGTTGAGCCTCTGTTATGGTGTCTTTAAAAAGTTTCCATGCAGCTTGCAGGGATTTCACTTTTGGCCAGGGCCGGCTCCAGGCACAAGCCCAGCAAGCAGGTGCTTGGGGCGGCCAAGGGGAAGGGGTGTTCAGCGGCGTTGATGGGAGAGCTCAAGCACCTAACGGAATCAGGGCCTGAGTAGTTTCCATCAGTTCTAAATCAGTCCTGAGCCCATCCTTTTCAGCCTGGATCTCCGAATACCTATCTTGTTAGGGCCGTGGCATGTCCATGCCCAGCAGCTGTGCCCTCATCCTCACTGGCTAGATATTGTCCATATCGGTTTGCTGGCACCATATAGATGCCTTTTAGTCTTGTAATGGATTGGAGGTTCCTAGGGCAGCATGTTTTATTGTTCCCCTTGGCTCTTCTACTGCTCCATCAAATTCCCATAGTTGCCATGACTACCCACCAACACAAATCCTGACCGTAAAAAGCAGACTGAAGCAAGGACAAAAGTAAAGCTCTAGGAGTCATTGTGCCTAGACAAGAAAGAAGTCCTCTGCCTTTTAATCAACAACCGGGGCTGCTGCCTTTCGCAATGAGCAGATCAGCTGCTCCCCTTTGTTCCCATGTCACAGCAACCTCCAGCTTGATTTGCTCACTGAAAGCTAGGAGGTCACCACACTCCTCAGTCTACCAGCTGCTGCTGGCCTGGCCAGTACTTCCTCATGTATCGCTGTAGCTTGGGATTTGGGGCTCCTGAAAAAGGAAACACAAAGATGGGGGGACACTTGCATATGCTATCAAAGTGGCTGGTTCTGCTGAACTTCACGGCCTTGGAGGTCTCATCCATAGAAACAGGTATGGTGGTTTTTCCAGACTGCTTCTTTTGCTCCCCAGCTGGGCTGATCCAGAACTCGGGCTCTCTGTTTGGTTTACTAGTAGAAACCTGACTTTACACTTGAATCTAAAGTGCATATCTGACATGCACTGTAGCCACACTCCTTCCTATCTTCGCATAGGTGAGAGCTAAACAGTTTCACTAGGATGGTGAGAGATCTGTGCATGGCCTACACAGATGCTGCTATTTTTCCTGGTTTAAAAGGCGGCTGCATAACACTGAATGATTCATATGGTCTGAGGGTAGACAGGCACCTGTGGCTAGCAGGTGACTATCAGTAGTTTCCCAAATCATGATTGGCTGTGCCCCTGTGTGTATTTGCCTGTGTCTCCTCACTGCTAGTTGCGACCTTTCTAAGCATGGAAGACACTTGGCACACTTCAAGGGCCCTGATGTTGTGCTGAGCTGTGCAATGACACGTTGGCATTCACATACAGCTACTTGACAGACTGTTTGAAATTAATATTTTTCCTAGGGTGTTGAGTCCAAACTCTCATTCACCGTGCAAGAAGAATCACTGTTACCATCACTTCTGCAGGTGCAAATCAGGAGTAACTGCTCTGGTTAATGGAGTCCCACCAGTGTGAAACTGGTGGAAATTAGAGGAAAATCAGGCTCAATGAGTCCAGCCAGGCAGTATGAGTCCTACATGGCATCTTCTGTCCAGGGAAACATGACTGAGTAGTAGGTAGAACCTATTAATTTGCCTTGGAACAAAATTTTCCCCTCTGTTCTGCAGCATGGGTAAGAGATCCACAGTGTGGACTGGAGAGCAGCATTTTGACTTTAGTCCTGTGGCTGAATGCAGCCCTCTCTCACCCTTGTGCAGCCCCAGTAAACTGCACAAGGAGCTTGTATAGGTGTGACCAAGTGCTGCATTTGGCTCTCTGTCACATCCAGGTCTGGTTAGCCAAGACAGTGACAGGTGCCTTAGCAGCACCATAGACAGAAAGCTATCTATTGTCCATTGTGGAGCTGTACTGCTAGAATTATCAACAGCTATCTTACCATAGAGAATGAACGCATTCATTGCATGTAATTCACCAGCCCAGTAATCTTACTGGCCTAAGCAAATGTTAGTTTGGAAGTGGTGGCTCCCCATCAGGAGGTGGAAACATTAAGAGGGTGTTTCTAGAGCGGAGTCCAGGAGTCAAACCCTTTGGGGTAGGAGCATGTAAGCGGGCCTGCAGCACCTCCTGCTGGTTGTCTAGGGAATCATTTCGATCCAGCCTCCAAAGCGCCCTCTACAGGCCGGTGATTCACCTCCCTCCCAGGACCCCAGTGCCCCTTGTCCCCTGGCAGTACTCACACACACTGGGTCTCCCCTCCCAGGGGAACTCCCACCCACTAACCCCACCTCACCACAGTGTAAGGCTACTGCCAGTCACCAACTAGCCTCCACTCCCTGGGGCAGACTGCAGTGTCAGCCACTCATCACTGGCAAGGTTGGGTTTGGACCTGCTGCCTTGGCCTATCTCTGGGCTGCCCTCTGCACCCCCCCAGTACCTTTAGCCCAATGCTAGGCCACAGCCTGGGGCTCTCCAGGCTGGAGCTCCCCAGCTCCTCTGCCTTTCCCCAGCCTTGCTCTACTCAGGCACCCTGTCTCAAGCACCCTGCAGCCAGGCCCTTCTCTCTCTGAAGGCAGAGAGAGACTGCTGAGCTTCTGGCTCCCAGCCTCTTTATACTGGCCAGCTGGGGCCTGATTGGGGCGTGGCCCAGCTGCAGCTACTTCCCCAATCAGCCTAGATAGTTTTTCTTCCACAGCCCCAGCCCTCTGCAGGGCTGGCTTTAACCCTTCCCAGGTAGGAGTGGGTGTTCACACCGCTACAGAGCGTTAGGTGCTTTCTTGTGTTGGATTTAGTACTTTAATACCCATGAGGAAAAGCGGGGAAGTGTTTGGAGGTGATGAAGGAAATTCCATCACAACCCATTTCCTCTGGGTTTCAGTGAAGTTCACTTTGCAGGGTTGTTTCCTACATTCCCTTCCCCTGGGAACTGGAATGAACTGGGGTCAACAGACAGAAAGACATCTTCCTCAAGGAAGCATCTGAGAGGGGCACAGGCTACACTGGGAGGGGAGGATGTAGGTCGGTGCATATGTGCTGGAACTGCCGCACCCCCTGGCTTGAAGTGGTTTCCATCATATCTGGGGCTTACAGTTTGGTTCAATGGTTCTCAGCACCCCACTATACAGTGTTCCAGCATGCCTGGGTGGGTGGGCAGGTGGACAAGGGCACATAGACCCCAGGAGAGTTTGGAGTGCCCTCATCACCATGTCCTATCCTCTGGGTAACTGTGTGTGTGCTGGCTGCCCCACACTGGGCGCCAGAGCACAGCACAGAATGTTTAACCCATTCAAGGTTTTCTCTGCTGTAATGGACTTGCTGTAAAAAATTAGAGAGGGAATCCTGGTCCCATAGGAAGTTTTGCCATTGATGTCAGTGGGGCCAGGATTCACCCAGACATGGATCTGAACTGGCACCTCCAATCCAGTCCCCCCTGTGTTTCAGGTGGGGTTGGATTTCTCTAGCCCCCCTTCACTGCTGGGGAAATCACTGCTGAAGGCTTTGGAGGAGCCAAGTCCTCATCCCTCTGCAAAGTAAGCTCCACTGTACAACTTCAAAGGGTATTTCAATAGCAGGCTGCAGGGCTTATTGCTCCAAAAGAGCTGTCTCGGCCAATGATTTGAGATGTAATTGGATAAAAATCACCTGCATAGGAAACAAGATGTTATGGCATCAAGGAGACACAGCCCTTTGGCATTGACAAGCAGGCGAGCGGACATATGCTGGCACCATAAAGTGCCTCCCCAGCCAGCGCTTCCCAGATATGTAAATTCTTCACTGTGTGGGCTCCCAGAGGCACAGAGCAGCATTGTTCAGGGCTCGGTGTGTAACTGCAATGCCATGGTGGGGATGTGTGTGTGGACACCATCCACTGCAGCTCTTGCTCTCCTTGTGAAGGACCCAAAACAGAGCTGGACACGCCTGCTCGGAAAATGATCTTCAGTTCATGGAGCCAGCTAAGCTTTTAAACTAAGGACTGGGGGAAATTAAACAGGTATGGAGGAGCATGTGGTTTGGACAGAGACATCCCTTAGGGGAAGATCTATTAATGGAGATTCTTTATGTCCTAGTAAGGAGGAGAGGATGGTAGATGATAAAATACAGGCAGGATCTCATAAGAAACAGTCAAATGAAAAAAGTCCCATTCAATTACATCACATAGTGGCAGACAACTAAAAAGTGACAAATTTTTAAGTGCTTATATGCCAATATTAGGAGTCTTAAATAATAAGATGGGTGTGTGACGGGTTGGATCACAGAACCCCCCGGGGAGCTGCCACCTGATGTGCCCAGACTACTTCTACCCCTGCTTTCCCTGCCAGCTCAGGACTCCAGCACCCTGTCTTGCTGAGCCAGACACTCCCGTCTGCTCCAACAAAGACCCAGGGTCTGAATTACTTGCCCCAAAGCTGCAGGTTTACTTGAAAGCAGCTAACAGAAGTGTTCCTGTTTTTAACACTCAGCTGCCCAACTTCCAATGGGGTCTAGACCCAAATAAATCCGTTTTACCCTGTTGTGAGAGTTTGTGCCTCTGGTTACCAGGTAATGCGGCCTAGTGGCCAGAGTCCATAGAGTTGCCCCAGCTTGCAGGGCAATGCAGCCTAGTGGCCAGAGTCTATCCCACTCTGCTGAGCCCTGGCCTCCGGGCCCTAACTGCGGCATAGGACCTTGCCACTGGCTCAGCAGGGGGGTCCTACTGAAACACACTGAGGCTTGCTGGGGGCAAGGTACCAGTCTATCACACACACACCCCCCCGGGTCACTTCCTACCAGCTTAAGCGTTGAGGTCTCCCACGAGTCTCTAGGTTCCCTGCGGGCCTCCGGGTTAGTCGCCTCCCCAGGTTCCTCCTGTAGTAGGGCTTCAAGTCGGCCTGGAGAGGCTTCCGTCCCCGGTGCCTTCACAAGCGGTGGCTGGTCTTTCACAGGCGCTTCCCAGTCAGGTCCTTCCTCACCAGCCCAGACTGAGCAGGACTCCCTCCTTTTATACTCCCAGAGCACTTGGAGCATGCCCAGTACGGATGGGGCAGGACTTCCGCCGTCAGTGCTACTGGCCTGATGCTGCAGGGGCTGGTGCGGGGCGGTGCTGCCCTGTCACACCTGTATAAAGCTTATACAGGGTAAACTCATAAATTATTCGCCCTCTATAACACTGATAGAGAGATATGCACAGTTGTTTGCTCCCCCAGGTATTAATACATACTCTGAGTTAATTAATAAGTAAAAAGTGATTTTATTAAATACAGAAAGTAGGATTTAAGTGGTTCCAAGTAGTAACAGACAGAACAAAGTAAGTTACCAAGCAAGATAAAATAAAACGTGCAAATCTATGTCTAATCAAACTGAATACAGATAATCTCACCCTCAGAGATGCTTTAGAAAGTTTTTTCCTCAGACTGGACACCTTCCAGGCCTGGGCACAATTCTTTCCCCTGGTACAGCTCTTGTTCCAGCTCCGGTGGTAGCTAGGGGATTCTTCATGATGGCTCCCTTCTCTTTGTTCTGTTCCAGCCCTTTATATATCTTTTGCATAAGGCGGGAATCCTTTGTCCCTCTCTGGGTTCCCACCCCCTCCTTCTCAATGGAAAGACACCAGGTTAAAGATGGATTCCAGTTCAGGTGACATGATCACATGTCACTGCAAGACGTCATTGCCCACTTGCCAGCACACACATATACAGGAAGACTTACAGGTAAACACAGCCATCTGCAGACAATGGTCCTGGTTAATGGGAGTAATCAAGATTCCAAACCACCATTAATGGCCCACACTTTGCATAATTACAATAGGCCCTCAGAGTTATATTTCATATTTCTAGTTTCAGATACAAGAGTGGTACATTTATACAAATAGGATGATCACACTCAGTAGATTATAAGCTTGTAATGATACCTTA